AGATTATAATACTGCACTTTAGTGATATTTCAAGCACTATTTTGAGCTGGATTAGCTTGATGGATGGTCATCATAATAACACTTTTTGAGGTACCAAAAGCATTTGCTAAATAAATCGAATGAAGAAGTATGATAAAAATATTATTTTAAAAATACAAATTTATTATAACCTTTTGGGGCTTGTGTGGCCACAGTCATAGACAGCACATTTTAGCTCTTAGGTGGCTGTTTAAAATACTTTGAATGTTTTATATTTTGTTTCAGACATACAGTGTCATCCTGCAACTGTTTTGCAGCATATGAAATGTCCCAAACCCTATTTTTGAACTGTCCAAAATGGGAAAAAATGTTGTTTTTACTCTCTGAGAGTCATTTTTCTATGTTATATATGCATTAAAAACAGTCAGGAGAAAGTGTTTATGTAAATTTAGACTACGAGTCCACATATATGGACATCAGGTTTCTCTAAAAGTACATCATATCAAAAGATGATACTTAGATGTTTATTCTAATTAGGTTCCATTAAGCCCAAAAAGCAAAGAGAAATAAAAAAAATGCATGTAAAAACACCTTGAGCCTTAAGAGGATATTATATGTAATTTTTAAAAAGAGTTAAATGAGAAATGGTCGTCTGTCATTTTTGGGAAAATTATAAACTGATCAGCACATTCAACTTTCCTCAGCCAGAATTCGGCCTTCTAAAGCATAATATTAAAGTAGAGCTTAACTTTTTGAAAGTTCAACAAAAAATAGCCTAATAAGTATTAAATTTAACTTTAACATGGACTGCTTTTGGCTTCAAACCTTATTATTGGTATTTTTTCAAAAACGTCCAAGATTCTGAATAAACGTTGGGCTGCTTATAATTGTTATTATTATTAAACTTAATAATTGTTTAGATTTATTGTAAGCCTTCTTTGATGGGTTATTTTTACACTTTATGATGACATAGCAGTCAAAATAGGACTAAGAGCTCATGCTTGGGACAATTCTGGATCATATGTCAGCGACGAGGGGGTCTTTCAAACCACTTTAACGCCCCCTGGCTACGGGTCTGATTTATAATGTATAATAGTGAAAATGTTCATTTTAATACACTAACAGCTATACTAATAATGAATGACTATTCAATTGTACAAAAATGTGACTCTGGACCCAGGTCTTATGTTTGCAATAGCCAAACTACATTACAAATGCAGGCCCGTAGCCAGCCTGGTGAAAGGGGCGGCTCTTTTTTTCTCAAAATGTGGACATTTTTGCAGTCTTAAAGCATTTTTCAACAGGTTATTTTCACAATTTATGGTGATGTAGCAGCCAAAATAGGACAAATGAGCTCATGTATAGGACAAATCCTGCACCTTTTCCATTGAGATGTGGGTCTTTCAAACCAGCCAAACCCCCCACTCTGGCTACGGGCCTGAAATATGACAAAAGCAGGAGAATATTATGATCATGTTTCATGAAGATTATTTACAGACCTGCTGCTGTAAATGTATAAAAACTCAGTGTTTGATGTTTATAATCTGCACCGCTAAGAACTTAATTTGACAATTTAAAAAGTGATTTTGTCAATGTTTGTATTTTTTATGAATTAATGACAATAAAAATCATGATTTAGATTAAGAGTTTAATGTTTGTTGTGTTTTAATCCACAGTTAAAGGTGAAGGAGAGAAGTGGAAAGAGGATGATGCTTTTCACAGTATTTTAGGTGAAGGTAAACCATATTCTCTACGGATACGCATCAAAGTTGCAGATCGGAAGAACATAAGAGTGGGCGCCGACACAGAGGCGTCCAGCTCAGGTCAGTCCACTCTTTATGACTGGAGAAATACTGGAAAACTGGAGCACTGCTGCCATTTGTTACATCCCAGAGTAAAATAAACGGCAATTATTGAAATAACTGATTATTAATAATTCATTATTGACTGTAATCCACATCAGGAGGAAGAGGAGTGAAGAGGAAAGCGGATGATGATTTGCAGAGTGTTTCTGATGGAGTCAAACCATATGCTCCGCGGAAACGCATCAGAGCTGCAGAGACGTCCAGCGATGAGAACAGCAGCTCAGGTCAGTTTCCCGTTACAGAATCACACTTTTCTACAGTTTCATCACTTAAAATTCATAATACATAATCAGTTAGCTGCTAAAGCAATGGCAGAAATACACTGTATGTGTGAAAATTATCCACTTTTATTTGTGCCAAAAAATCATTTAAATAGGGGGCCACGCGGTGTTGCAGTGGGTAGCATGTTCGCCTCACAGATAGAAGGTCGCTGGTTCGAACCTCGGCTGAGTCAGTTGGTGTTTCTGTGTGGAGTTTGCATGTTCTCCCCGTGTTGGCGTGGGTTTCCTCCGGGTGCTCCGGGTTCCCCCACAGTCCAAACTATTTTCTACAATGTAGATTGTGTCAAAGCAGCTTAACATAGAAGTTGTAGTAAATTGAAACTTTGTCAGTCCAGTTTTCCGAGTTGAAAAGCTTCATTACTGGCATAAAAAAATAAATGATTGTTTAGATTAAGAGTGTATTGTTCATTGTGTTGTCATCCACATTAGGAGGAAGAGGAGAGAAGCGGAAAGCAGATGATGCTTTTCAGAGTGTTTCTGGTGGAGGCAAACCATCTGCCCACCGGAAACGCATCAAAGTTGCAGAGCTGGAGAACACAAGTGTAGACGCCGACACAGAGGCGTCCAGCTCAGGTCAGTCCACTCTTTATGACTGGAGAAATACTGGAAAACTGGAGCACTGCTGCCATTTGTTAAATCCCAGAGTAAAGTAAATGGCAATTAATGAAATAATCGATCATTAATAATTCATTATTGACTGTAATCCACATCAGGAGGAAGAGGAGTGAAGAGGAAAGCGGATGATGGTTTGCAGAGTGATTCTGATGGAGTCAAACCATACGCTCTGCGGAAACGCATCAAAGCTGCAGAGACGTCCAGCGATGAGAACAGCAGCTCAGGTCAGTTTCCCGTCACACTCTTCTACAAGTGTATGAGCATATATTTGTCAGCTTAAAGGCACAGTGCACGACGACACAAAGCAGCAGAGCTTTTATTATGCCACAGTCCACTGCGTCTGGTTCTTCAGCTCGTGATCAGGTGTGCTGTTTTACATTTCAGGCTTCTGTTATAATGCTGCTCTGTGCAGTCAAATAAAACACAAACATATTAAAACCTCGCTAGACAAACAGCAGAAATAGAGGATGTGTGACGTCATTAGCATGAACACACACACTGGCTGTGTCTAAAATCACACACTTCCATACTAAACAGTACATTAAGACAGTACGTGAGCCGAGTAGTATGTCTGAATTCACAGTATTTGACAAACAGCATGTGAGAAGTACCCGGATGACCTACTACTACTGGAGAGATTCGGAAGTGGGCATCCAGTGGACGCTACTCTATCCCATAATGCACAGCGAGATCATTCATGAATCACTCCTCTAGTGGATTTTGGAGATTTTCATTATAAAAGTCTCACATATTGTGCCTACAATAAATGCCAATCAATGAAAGAACTGAGCATTAATAATGCATTGTTGACTGTAATCCACAGAAGCTCCAAGAGCACAGAAGAGGAAGGCTAGATGTCTGGATCAGAACACAGCTGCTGCAAAACGAATGAAAACAGCACAGATCCAACATGGCAGCAGCAGCAGTGGCGGGAAAACTGCAGCAGAAGACAGCAGCTCAGGTCAGTGTGCTTTAGGAAGCTGTAGGGGCGCCATATGGGCATATATGATGATATCACAATATTTTAAGGGATATCCTGATTCACGATTTGATCAAAACTCTTCTGTGATGTTGGTTTTATTTAATATTTTTCAAGCTGTCATATTATCTGAACATTTGTTTTGAGTTATTTTAGTCACAGGAACTAAACTATGAAAAATAAACTAAACTAAGAAAACTATGAATGTGTGCTCTAATCCGCTAATGCAGTGAATTAATTCAGGTTATTTTATTGTTTCAATTATCTTGTAGTCTCTTAAATGTGATTTTCTCCATATTTAGATTTTTGAATCCTCAGATAGCACAACAGAAATCTGCCATGAAATAATAAAACATGATTGATTAATTGAAGAGTGTATTGTTCATTGTGTTGTCATCCACATAAGGAGGAAGAGGAGAGAAGCGGAAAGCAGATGATGCTTTTCAGAGTGTTTCTGGTGGAGGCAAACCATCTGCCCGCCGGAAACGCATCAGAGTTGCAGAGCAGGAGAACACAAGTGTAGATGCCGACACAGAGGCGTCCAGCTCAGGTCAGTCCACTCTTTCTGACTGGAGAAATACTGGAAAACTGGAGCACTGCTGCCATTTGTTAAATCCCAGAGTAAAATAAATGCCAATATTGAAATAACCGATTATTAATAATTCATTATTGACTGTAATCCACAGAAGTTCCAAGAGGACAGAAGAGAAAGGCTGGATGTCTGGATCAGGACAGCAGAAATCAAGACACAGTTGCTGCAAAACGAATGAAAACAGCACAGATCCAACATGGCGGCAACAGCAGTGGGAAAACTGCAGCAGAAAACAGCAGCTCAGCTGAAGACAGCAGCTCAGCTGAAGACAGCAGCTCAGCTGAAGACAGCAGATCAGCTGAAGACAGCAGATCAGTTGAAGGCAGCAGATCAGTTGAAGGCAGCAGATCAGTTGAAGACAGCAGATCAGTTGAAGACAGCAGATCCGTTGAAGACAGCAGATCCGTTGAAGACAGCAGATCAGTTGAAGACAGCAGATCAGTTGAAGACAGCAGATCAGCTGAAGACAGCAGCTCAGCTGAAGACAGCAGATCAGCTGAAGACAGCAGATCAGTTGAAGACAGCAGATCAGTTGAAGACAGCAGATCAGTTGAAGACAGCAGATCAGTTGAAGGCAGCAGATCAGTTGAAGGCAGCAGATCAGTTGAAGGCAGCAGATCAGTTGAAGGCAGCAGATCAGTTGAAGACAGCAGATCAGCTGAAGACAGCAGATCAGTTGAAGACAGCAGCTCAGGTTCGTCTTCTGTCATAATGTTTTCTGTCTAATCTGCAGGGTTTTGTATTATTTTTCAGAGTTTTACAGAATTTTCTCACTATTAGATTAGAGCAGAAGAGTCACAGGAGTGAGCAATGTCATAAATGTGATGTATTTCTCTTCAGGATCTTTACTTGACAGATATGTGCTTGGAGAGAAGCTGGGAGAGGGACGCCATGGCACTGTCTATTTGGCTACACGGAAATCTGACGGCCAGAAGGTAACATTCACTTCATTTGTGTGTTTGTGTGTGTGTGTGTGTGCGTGTGTGTATGTATGTGTGTGTGTGTGCGTGTGTGTGATCAGACATCTCTCTGGTTGAATAAGTTTTGACTTTATGCTTTCTTTGCAGGTTGCCATAAAAATTGTGATTAAGGATTATTATGGAGAGTTGTACCACGTGGTAAGTTTGCATTCAAATATCTGAAGAGAAGTGATGAACTCCATGTTTAGTCATGTTTTTATGTTGTGTATTGAAGGGTGCAAGTGTAAACAACACGCTTTATGGAAAAGACTGAAACTGGACGTGTTTAGTCATTTCCAGAAATCCTGTTTTGACTGAATATTAAAGAGTTTCTGGACATTTCTAATAATGGGGGTTATCAGCTTTTGCAGATGAACTGCGGAGCACAAAACCAGTCATAATGTCTGAAACTGAGATTTGGGGATCATCTGAAAGATCAGTAAAGAAGCTTTTCAATAATGTTTGCTTTGTTAGAACAATATTTGATGGAGATGCGGCTGTTTGACCATCTGGAAGGTGAAAAACATCTGAATATTGAGAAAATCAGCTTTAAAGTTAATAACTTAAACTAAGTCCAGCACATTTCCATGTAAACTACATATGATAATAATACCACACTGATAGGAAATGCACAAATATATACTGAAACTAAATCTTTAATTAAAGTCAGAATTTAGAGTTTTCCTAAAAATAAACCCGCATGACAAAAGACTGGTGTAGTGGTCCAGGGTCACATGTAGTGTTGAGTTTGAGTTAATATGTGAACATAGCTCTGTTTCCATCCACCTGTTTCATGCACATTTAGGATTCTCACATAAACAATGCTGAAAACACCAAGATGCACAAACATGTTGTCATGCGCATAACTTACTAGGATAAACTTTATTCCAGAAGAAAAAAAAATGTACATCAACTACATCAGGAGCATTTTTACCTGATAAACACTAGCATGCAGATTAAACAAGTCATGTGATTGTGTCAGAAGAGGTCATGTGATGATATCAATGTGTGTTCAGGGTCTTTGTGTCATTAATGTTGGTCTGCAGCTCTCCAGTGTGTCAGATCTGAAATGTTGATTGTAGATGGCCTCAGCTAGGGATGATATTGTTAAGGTTTTATTGGTATTACTACTTTTATTGATAACACTTATTAGTTTAGTACTTTAACTGTTCTCTTATAAATCTTATTATTTTTAGGAAAAAAACAATTGAACAGAATTAACAACACCTAATTTTATTATTACATTTATGCAAAATAAAGCAAAACCAATAAATGTAAAACAAATAAATACAGATTTTCCTGTAAAAGAATGCACAGCCGAGAACTGTGAAGGCTTTTATACTTGACGCACTCGCCATTGTACTATTGGGCAGAAACATGAGCATTCCTCATGTGAGATTTCCCACTGTGCAGACGAATATCACAAATTAGAAAAGGTTGGTCAGTTAATTATTCTACTGTTAGTAATGTTTACTCAGCAATAATTCTCCAGAACCGATAGCAGAACCGTTAACGTCAGAGCTTTCCTATACTTCGATCTTTTATAATTTAGCTGCGATACTGATAAAGTACAGAGTTTCGGTACCCATCTCTAGCCTCAGTCCTCCGTCAGTCTGTCATCACAGTGCTTCAGTATTCTTCTTCTTCTGTTATTATTCCCTCCAGAACTGTCTTGAGCATCTGTCTGCGCTCCCGTCTCTAAAAGTCACCGCATTTACCGCGCTCATTGTGTTTGGTCTTGGTCTTCTGTGGCGAAACTCATTTCTCTGACTGATATTTGCCGCTAGTTTATAATTCAGTGATGATTTAATTCTCTTGGACTCATTGATGGAAACGCTGCTTGATTCTTTTATATGATCTGCCAGTTTTGCACATGAGTTTAATCAGCATCTTTGGATGGAAACACAGCTATTGACACATTACAATGCCATAAATATATGAGACACTCACATCTAACCTTTTCCTGACTTGATTTTTCTCTAGGATGGATATTCTACATATGTGATCCCAGAAGCACGTCATATGATGATCCTCAAGAAACCTCCGCTCTGCCCGTACATCATAGAGCTGTACGAGTACGCCATGGAGGGAAAGAATAACTACCTGGTCATGGAGTACGCGTCCTCGTACATAACCTTGGGGAAGTTCATCACGGAGAACAATGGCTGCCTGAGTGAGAGTGTTGCCCGGCAGCTGATCGTGCAGCTCATTATTGCTGCACAGCACTGCATTGAGCATGGCATATTCCATGGGTCCATGAATCTAGAAAACATCCTGGTCAATCCAAAGACCCTGGAGCTCAAGCTGATTGATTTTGGCTACAGTTTTTATGTTTCAAAAGGCTGCTGGAGATGCCCCACTCTGGGTGAGTTGGCTTTTAGTGCTGCTTATTAAAGGGAAAGTTCACACACATGAAGATAGCTTTAGTAATGAAAAATTCTCATGTCGTCGTGAACCCCTGAACACAAATGAAGACATTTTAGATGAAATCTGAGAGCTCTTTGAGTCTCCATAGACAGCAAAGGTCTATAAACGGACCCACAACATCCTTAAAACAGACCATATGACTTCAGTGGATCAATCAGAGCATTGTCAGATTCTGAGAATACTTGTATTTCCACATAAAGCCAAAATAACGACTTTATTGAACAGGTTCTCATCCTCAGTGTCAGTATATTGCGCACGTTCAGGAGAGCTCTGAGGCCTTCACGCATGTTGCTCTCAGTTGCACTGCTGATGTATCATCTCGTATGCGCCTGTGCTTTCTTCCAATCAGAGGAGGACATCAGCGGTGTACGTCACTGCACAGAGCTCTTCTAAGTGTGCGCAATATACTGACACTGAGGACAAGAAACTGTTCAATAAAGTCATGATTTCCAGTTAAACCACTGAAGGCATATATGGTCAGAGAGCTCTCGCGTTTCTTCTAAAACATCTTCATTTGTGTTCAGAAGCTGAATGAAGGTCTCAGGGGTTTAAGCTGTGTTATTAATAACAGAATGACATTTTTGGGTGAACTGACCCTTCATCTGTAACCTCCTGTGCATGTATGCTGATGTCAGGAAGGCAAAGATATTGTGAATTACTAACATGAAAATCTCTCACTTGCAGGAGTAACGAGATACCGTAAAAAGGAGGGGGAACCCTTCAGCTATATTTTTTCTGCTGTTAAAGCGCATGTCTGGGCTGTTAGACGAATGCTGTCATACATGGTCAACGGATATGGCTGTTTCTCCAGAGATGGAAGTCCACAATTTAACCCCAGTTTGTCAGCAGGTGAGAAAACAACACTACACATGGTGCAGCTCATGGGTGCCGCTGGGCCACTTATTTTCACTCAGCCCCACTAAATGGTTCACTACTATATTATCAGCTCAGTCCCCTTTAAATTTGATAAGAAAGCGACAGCAAACTTCAGCTCTTCTGTTTTCAACTAATTAGTCATTTAATCAGTAAAGCACAGCCGTGTGGAGTGAGAGCAGAAGCTGTGTTTATCAATAGATTGGTATAATATCTGCATATTTGCAGTTCTTTGCTGTAGAAACACTTGTATCACTTGTACCCCAATGGGTCATGGAGGAGCAGTCGGTTTCCCATGTATCTACAGTTTCCTCAACGCTCCTCTCATCATCACAGCTGTTTCCTACAGTGAACATGTAACTCTTAACAAACAGTTTACTATGTTTATTTCACAATTAACTCTAAATATAAAGCTCATCACAGTGCATATGTCATTAACTAAAGCGTACCGTCATGCACAGCGTTAAACGGTGACAGAAGCGCTCAGTGTGTGCACTCACTTTAATATCGAGTGACATCAGAGTAAACATTATGTTTTGCATTTCTTATTTCCACTTATAATATGATTGTGAAATATGTAAATTAGCCTCTACGGCTTTAATATGTTCATATTTTGAATGAGAAAAGTGGCGTTTTATTTATTTAATACATGAAATAATGTACTTTTACAAAAGTGGTTTGTACCACAGTAAACAGGTGTGTTGAGCTGATTTCACTCATTCAGAACTCTATGTCTGTCTATGAAATACAATGGAATACAGCTTTAGTGTACAACCCTGCCGTATACGTCAAACTTAACATGTGTTATTAGGATAATATGTATAACAGTTGGACAGGAAACAGCTGGACATTACTGCCTCCATATGTCATCATGGCTCTAAATAAAAGCTCTCACTTTAAATTTCAAATCTTTTTTTAAACAAGTAATGTATAGTCAGTAGATTGCCGCATGGATTTTAAATGCAGAAGCAAAAGCAAACAGTAATCCATTGATAATCCCACTTATTCCATGGTCATTTTCATAGACAAGTTAAAGTACTTTTGCAGGAGATTTGACTGAATCTCCGTCTGTTACGATTTGGTCGTGTGTTTGATATTATAGCTCATAGTAACGTGTGTTAGCTACCTCATCCATTTCTGACCGTATTTGCGACTTGGTTGATCCCCATTGCCTCCAGATAAAGCACACATCCAATGAAATGGTTATGGCTAATGTTTGCATGTGGCGCATTCATCTGGAACTGATTATAACTGACTGAAATTGGATTTAATGATTTCATTCCAGCAAATCAGAATCAAGAATTTCACCAGACCACTGAATAAATCTCTGTGTTGTATCATCATCGAGAGCATCCATGACTAACATGTTCTCTCTTTAATATTTCCACAGAGTGCCAGGATCTGTTGAGGCGGTTATACAGTTTCCACCCTGAAACAGGACCTGTTTTAGAGGAGATTTTAGAGCACGAGTGGTTCAGCATGACGTAGAGGCCATCAGCAGCAGGATACGGTTTCATTCTTCCTTGTTTGACGTTTGTCATTTGTTGTTTTCCGCTTCTGCTTCCCAAATTCTGCACTTCCTCCTGCGAGGGATGCAGTCAGAGCTGCATGTAAATGAGGGCCGGTTGAAGCGTCTCCATTCGTCCATAAGCTCTAGACTGACAGCTCCTCCTCCAGCCAATCTGGTGAGGAAGGAAGCTGATGTCACTCTAATGGCGGCCGATGCGCACAGGCGACGCCGGAGATTGAGTGTTAGCGCTAATCCTCAGCTGGGGTAGAATGTGTCTGCGGCAGGACAGCATTAATAGTTTGAAATAAGGAAAGCAGGTTGATTGACGTTTAGACAGGACGTAGTGTTTTATTTGAACTGGGTTAGCACTGACTGTAGAGTAAATAGTCATATTAAGGGAAATAGTCACAGATTAATCAATCAAACTGCTGGATTTATTAGCATACTGGTGTGCTTTATTTCTCTAGCTGTAGGAGTAATAGTAAAAGATAAAGTCTGCATATCATTACTGTAGTGCGTCAATACTTTATAAAGACAGAAAGCCTAGTTTAGACAGTGGTCGTAGCTCTAACGGGACTTTAGGCAGGTTTAAGTGAGATAAGCGCATATAACAGGGGCGTCGTGGGCCGGTTTTGAAGGCGTTTTCTCTTTAACAGAGATAGGATGGGGTGGTGTAGATGGCGCTGGCGGGGCAGGATTATATGGGCGAATACGCTAGATATAAGAGCCTCCTGCCACAGACATATTTTAGCCCAGCGGTGGATTTCTCAGATCTGATGAGGATTATTTCTAGTGCTGCTGCTCACACCTTTCTGCTTTCTTCTTCTTCTCACTTGTTCTCCAAGCGAGCGCTGGATTTCTGCAAATGAGCTTTAACTTAAACCAGTAGCTGAAGGAGTTTAATGGGGACATTTTGAACAGCAGCGTTTGCTAAATAACAGCGGTTTAGTCAAGACTGGGATATTTAGATATTGGTTATGGACACAAGTGTAGTTTAGAGTATGACTTTAATAGATGTTTATTGATATTAATAAGCTTATTATTGATGATGTTTAGCTTATTTCTGCTTGTGTTCTTTAGATAATGTGCGTGCTTGTTTGGAGAAAATCTTTGGTCCTCATTGATGAAACATCATTAAATATTGGAGTAAGTTAGTGATAGTTAAAGGTTTGATAGTTAAACGTGTTCGTTAATGAAGTATAATCAAGCATGGTTAGGGTTTAGAGTTAGACATGCACAACATAGAGGAGTAATCATCTTTACTAATGAGGACAAACCTCACTTCTTTCTTTCTTTCTATCTTTCTTTCTTTCTTTCTTTCTTTCTTTCTTTCTTTCTTTCTTTCTTTCCTAAACACTTGACTTTTTGTTTTTAGAGTTAGGTTAGGGTTAGGATATGGTTAGGGTGTTTGTTAGGGTTATGGTTGGGTTAGGTTATGGTTGGGTTATGGTTGGGTTAGGGTTAGGTTATGGTTGGGTTATGGGTTAAGTAAGGTTTTTTTTTTTTTTGCTTTGTGTTTGGTTTATTTAGTTTCTCCTCTTTCTTCTTCTCTGTCACTGTTGTGTGATCACTGCAGATTGTTATTTAAGAGCGATTGTTAATTATTATACACTTCTCTGTCCTCGCCTGTGCGCATTGGCCGTCATTAGAGTGACGTCAGCTTTTCTCCTCGCCTGATTGGCTGGAGAAGGAAGCTGTCAATCTAGAGCTAATAGGCCAATAGGGAGGCTTCAGCCGGCCTTCATTTGCATGCAGCTCTGACAGCGACACTCGCAGGAGGAAGTGCACAATGTGGGAAGCAGAAGCAGAAAACAGCATCATGTCAGAAAACAATGGAAGTATGAATTCCTGATGATCTGATTTGGTCACTGACCACATGTGTGCTGCTCTTCCTATCATTTCTGTGAAATTGAGACTGTACGCAGAGCGGCCTGCGAACCCCATGGAGTGTGTTGAAGCTGTTTTCTGATCAAACTGTAAACTATTGTCTTCAATAAATTGTATCTTTGACTCCTGCTCTTTGTTCATCACACCGGCTCCTTGCATTAACAGAAGTCAAATCCTTCAGCGTAGTGATACGGGACTGTAATGCACTCAAAACATGCCTGAACTACTTTATCTGTGTGTTGATCTGACAATAAGTGTGAACACAACACAGAGAAGATCTGTTTTACACACTGCAGACTCAATTTAGCCTTTATAGAACAATATTGATGCATCCTGTAATGTTTAAAGCACATTGCCCTGCCATTTGTGTGACTATAATGTGAAATATAAGAGTGTGTTAACTGTGATTTGAGTAATCCTACTGTAATATCTACTGAACTAGCGCCAGGGGTTTCCCAATGTCTGACCAGCAAATGTTGAGCTTTAGCCACAGAACAATGGTTAGAATGGAAATGTCTTCATTTCACAACAGTTTTTAACAACACAGAAAATATTGTGAAAGTTTTGTGGAAACTGTAATGGAAACACACTTATGCTTCAGTTTGTGCTAGAGTTACATTCACACAGCACAGTACACTCAAATATTACCTAATAAGTAAAGTGAACTAGCTAGTGTTCCCAGTTCTCCCAACAATGA